GGTTGATCACGTGAAAAGCCAGAACTATTAATTTCTTGGCTAATGTAATTATGATGTGCCTTTGTGTGTTCCTTCTTGGGTCCAACTTCTTTGGGACTCTCTGAGCTTCCTGAATTTCCTGAAAGTCTATTGCCTTTGCCAGATTGGGGAAGTTCTCCTTTATTATTTGTTCAAATAAGTGTTCCACTTGCTGTTCCTCTTTCCCTTCTGGTACCCCTATAATTTGGATGTTGGAATGTTTAAAGATGTCCTGAAGGTTCCTAAATCTCTCCTCATTTTTTTGAATTCTTGTTTCTTCATTCTTTTCTGTTTGGTCATTCTTTTCCTCTTTCTGGTCCACTCCTTTGATTTGATTCCCAGTTTCCTTTCCATTACTATTGGTCTCCTGTGCATTTCCATTCATTTCAATTAGTTTAGCCTTCATATGTTCCTCTAATTTGTGACTAAAATCAACCAGTTCTGTGAGCATTCTGATCACCAGTGTTTTGAACTGTGCACCTGAAAGTTTGGCTATTTCTTCATCGCTTAGATTTATCAGCTCTGGGGCTCTGAGTTGTTCTTGAGCCATGTTTTGGTCTGTTTTTGCCTGTTACATATCAGGAGCATTAAAATGAAGGAGAGAATCCTAGAAGAATCAAGAGATAAGGGGACAGACACCCTCAAAGGAGTTCCCATCAGACTGTCAGCAGATTTCTCAAAAGAGACCTTACAGGCAAGAAGGGGCTAGAAAGAAGTATTACAACTCATGAAATCCAAAGACCTACATCCAAGATTGATCTATCCAGCAAAGCTTTCATTTAGAATGGAAGGGCAGATAAAGTGCTTCTCAGATAAGATCAAATTCAAGGAGTTCATCATCACCAAGCCCTTATTATATGAAATGTTAAAGAGACTTATCTGACTTCCACCAAGATGGAGACGTAGGTGGAGGAAACACCTCGCCTCTGTGCACAACCAAATCTAAGAACAACTATTTTTAACAGCAGTCACAACCAAGCCACACGGAAAATCGACAATACGGAGTCCAAAGGACAACTAGATACTCAGCTGGACCGGTACGAGGAACGAGGCCAGCAGCGGAGCAGGTTAGCAAGAAAAAATTCCCGGGGCGGTGCGCAGTGCGCGCAGGCAACCGAGGGCATTGATCGCGAGCGAGCTGGCTGCCGGAGCGCACAGGGAAGAGGCGCGGTGGGTCGGTCGGTTGCGCGCATTTACGTGCGGAGAAACCAGTGAGAAGGGAAGCCGGCGCGGAGCAGCAGGCTCGCACAATTCCCATCGGATAAACTAGCCAGAGGCGCGTGGAGTGACTGGACGGGCTGGGCTAGCGGAGAGGACCGCCCTTGCTCCCTCTCTGACCACGCCCCCACACACAGCGTCACAAACCAGCGACCTGGGTCTTCCCGTCCTGGTAAACAACTAAGGCTTCGCTCCGCTCACTTAACAGCACGAATAGACCAAAAATGGCTCTAGGACAACTCAGAGCCCCAGAACCGATAGACCTAAGTGATGAAGAAATAGCCAGTCTTTCAGATGCACAGTTCAAAACACTGGTTATCAGGATCCTTACAGAACTGGTTGATTTTAGTCACAAATTAGAGAAACATATGGAAGCTAAACTAATTGAAATAAATGGTGATACAAAGGATGCCAATAGTAATGAAAAGAAAATTGGGACTCAAATCAAGGGAGTGGACCAGAAGGAAGAAAAAAATGATCAAACAGAAAGGAATGAAGAAATAAGAATTCAGAAAAATGAGGAGAAGCTTAGGAACCTCCAGGACATCTTTAAACGTTCCAACATCCGAATTATAGGGGTACCAGAAGGGGGAAAGGAACAGCCACCAGTGGAAACCTTATTTGAACAAATAATAAAGGAGAATTTTCCCAAGATGGCAAAGGAAGTAGACTTCCAAGAAATCCAGGAAGCTCAGAGAGTCCCAAAGAAGTTGGACTCAAGAAGGAACACACCAAGGCACATCATAATTACATTAGCCAAGATTAAAATGAAGGAGACAATCCTAGAAGCAGCAAGAGCTAAGGGGACAGTCACCTACAAAGGAGTTCCCATCAGACTGTCAGCTGATTTCTCAAAAGAGACCTTACAGGCAAGAAGGGGCTGGAAAGAGGTATTCCAAGTCATGAAAACCAAAGATCTACAACCAAGATTGCTCTACCCAGCAAAACTTTCATTTAGAATGGAAGGGCAGATAAAGTGCTTCTCAGATAAGACCAAATTCAAGGAGTTCATCATCACCAAGCCCTTATTATATGAAATGTTAAAGGGACTTACCTAAGAAAAAGAAGATAAAAAAGATGAACAGTGAAAGGACAGCAAACTCACAGTTATTAAGAACCACACCTAAAACAAAAGCAAACTAAGAGGACAGCTAGATCAGGAGCAGAACCATAGAAATGAAGATCTCATGGAGGGTTAGCAACAGGGGAGTGGGAGGAGGGGAAGGGGGGAAAAGGTACAGAAAATAAGTAGCATAGACAGTAGATAGAAAATAGATAGGGGGGAGGGTAAGAATAGTAGGGGAAATACAGAATCTAAAGAATTTGAGACACGTGTTCATGAACTAAAGGGGGAAATGGTGGGGGAGGGGTATGCAGGGTGGAGGGGAATGGAGGGGGGAATAGAGCAAATGTAATGGCATAATCAATAAAAAAAGTTAAAAAAAAAAGAGACTTATCTAAGAAAAAGAAGATAAAAAAGATGAACAGTGAAAGGACAGCAAACTCACAGTTATTAAAAGCCACACCTAAAACAAAAGCAAACTAAGAGGATAGGTAGATCAGGAGCAGAACCATAGAAATGAAGATCACATGGAGGGTTAGCAACAGGGGAGTGGGAGAAGGAGAAGGGGGGAGAAGGTACAGAAAATAAGTAGCATAGACGGTAGGTAGAAAATAGATAGGGGGGAAGGCAAGAATAGTATGGGAAATATAGAATCTAAAGAACTTGAGACATGTGGTCATAAATTAAAGAGGGGGATGGTGGGGCAGGGGTTGTGCAGGGTGGAGGGGAATGAAGGGGGAAACTAGAACAACTGTAATGACATAATCAATAAAATATTTTTTAAAAAAGAATTATCAATATCATTACTAAAATAACTCAGAATTTACACTTTATTCCTATAAAATTTTTATTTCAGGAATTTTCTCATAAAAATATGAAATTATATAAATAAACAAATTATTAACAAAGGAAGGAAAATGGAAGAAGAAAGACTACTTGGATTTCTCAGGCAGAGTTAGGGTTGGGGGAGGTAATATGATCACCCAGCTGTTTCATGTCCCTGATGTAGAACTTGTTTTTGTCATCTTCTGCTTGAGTTCAAAATCAAAACAAGCCCTGGCTGGTGTAGCTCAGTGGATAGAGCGCAGGCCTGCGAATCAAAGGATTGCGGTTCAATTCCCAGTCAGTGCACATGCCTGGGTTGCAGACTGTTTCCCTGCAGGCCAGTTTCCAGCAGGGGATGCACGAAAGACAACCATACATTGATGTTTCTCTTTCTCTCTCCTTACCCTCTATAAATAAATAAATAATAAAATCTTTTTTAAAAAATCAAAACAGACTTGTAGTTCTTCTTCTCATAACAATCTACACAAAGTGCCCACCATAGTTCCTTTGGGCAATTGGCCAAGCCAATGACAGTGAGTCACCTGAAAATAGATGTAGAAGAGAGTCTGATCAAAAATAGAAAGGAAGAAGGGAAAGGAATACGAACCGAACACAAATTTCTTATGCATAATTTAATGCCTGTAACACCCTGTTGACATCCTTTTAACCTTATAGAAATGACTCAAACACCTGTAGTACATACAACCATATCACTATGCCCTAAAACTTACCGTTGATCTCCTGGTTTGCCATTTGGTTAAGATGACCTATTGGTCACAATCTATTTACTATCTATATATTTTGAGGGCTCCTATGCATGTCTCTTTTTATATATTACAGTGTAAGCTAAAAAGCAAGAAGCTTCCTCTTCCTTCTTCTCCTCCTTCTCCAGATTATCTGTTGCTCCCCCAGGCTTTAAGATCACAGAGACTGTAACAGCTTCTTACACTTTTCTTTCCACCCTAGGCAAAAATGTTTATACTGAGCAATAAGTTTAAACCAAGATCAGTGAACCCTTAGTATACCCTGCACTTTTAATCAATATTTCTAGCAGAGTTGGCAATGCTAAACTTACTACATAATTAATTGTGACCATGTTAACATATCAGAATCCTTCCCTAATATTCCAAGAGTGAAATCATACAAAATTAGAATGAAGACAAGAAAAAAATATCTACTGCTGGGGGAGTAAAGCACCCAAAGAATAATGCACACCAATAGATTTACGGAGTTTAAGATATGAAAATAATAGGAAGCTACAGACATAACTGAGAAAAGTCCTTGCACAAAAACTAATGAATTCTAAATCTTCATTCTCTTTCTAAGTATAGAAATAGTTGCCAGAATTAACATGACCTTGACAGTTTTCAAAGCCCTTCACAGATTTCATCAATCTCTTACTGTTGACCAATAACTTTTCAGAATTCCTGACTAGAGGTACTTACACTCAGAGAAAATATTCTGACACACTGTGACTGGCACAGTGAGACACCAGGGGAAATAATCCAAGAAATTCTCTGCGAATGACTAAATAGACATGGAGGCAAAATAGCAAGAAAAGAACATGGAGAGTTTGTTTTCTGTTCTCTGAGTTGATAAATAATACGGTGAATAAAGGCCCACAGTGAAATGGTGAATTTAAATCCTTTGAAGCAGTCATCATCAAGGCAAGTAAAACATCTGATTAGATAAGACCACTCTCTCCCTCATCATTCTAAAATAGGAGGGGGGGGAATAGAACAAATGTAATGGCATAATCAATGAAACAAAAAATATATTTAAAAAAAAAATACTATCCATTATTATATAGGTTCTAAAAGAGCAAACAGCTTTGAAATAATGTATATAAGACATGGAACTGTGGGATTATGTAAAATGCCTGGGTTTTCACACATCTCTTTGCCTCACTTGCTAACATGTAACATAAGATTGTTAAAAAATACCACAGGAAAAATAGCCTTCATCCAATTAGATGAAGCAAAAAACTGGGGTTTCTAGGACAAAAGGAATCCTCTGCCTCAAGAGTCTAACATAGAAATCAATCCAGCCTGAATTTGATCCTCTCTGTCTGCGCTATGGATTTAGGACTTAAGACAGCAACTTCAACTCTTTCCTGAAATTTCAGCCTACATAATAACTTTTGGACTTGTCTGTCTCCACAGTCACATGAGCTAATAAATTTCTATAGGTGGGACAACTGTTATGGCCAAAACCTCCCCACACAAGAACACATCTTAAGTCTGAGAAAACTCCACTAGGCTGAGTGGTTTGTGTTCAACTCCCCCTGTGGTCCCAGACACTGTGTCACTCAGAGCACAGAAGTACACAGCTGAGTCCCTCCAATGGGCTGAGGATTTCTTCAGGTTGAAGGAAGATTCTTTCTCCTTTAATTCAGCCCCAAAGCCTTTAATGCCTTGAGCCCAGCTATTTCCTGAAAGGTGCTTGACAAGAAGCTGGAGGCCTTGGCTGGGGTATTGGACATACCAGTAGAGATAAGGAACTCCAGCATAAGAATAGTTGCACCTCAGCTCCAATGAGGCTTCTTCAGAGACAATGACATGGCTGTCAGGCTGAGTCACTAGCTGGGCTCTGGCATCTCCTGCAACATCAATGTTTTATTGGTGAAAACAGGGCAGACTTCTCTGTGAGAAGTATTTCTAGTCAGAATCTGTAGAACTATAGATCATTATGAAATTTTACTTACTCAGGACAAATATCATCTCCAGTACTGAGAGTAGCAACAAGAGCATGGCTGAGCAGTAGAAACGCTGTGGGCTCTTTTCTGGAAAATCTCCTCTGAGCAGGCAGGAAAGAGGCTGCAGAAAGCAAGTCCTTAGCAGTAAAAGATGTAGGGAGCTGGGTAAAAATACAAAGTCTGCCAAGATGAGCCTGGAGCTCTCTGATGTCTGATGCGAGTCACTTGTCTCTGCAAAGTACTCAGCCAGCTACAGGAGGAGGAGCCCAACACAGGACACTGATCTGCAAGATCTCTAGTTTGTGCAGCATCGCCCTCTGGAGGCCAGGTGCAGAACCAAAGCTTCTGAGAACTGGTTAGTGTTTTCATCCTTTTATGACATGTATCAAAAGTTCCATGTATCCATATATCAAAAGATCTCTCCCCAAATGAATTGTTTTTGTTCCCCTGACTAAAAAAAGTGTTCAAAGGGAAACATCTTGCCGATGTGGAAGAGGTGAAGCAAGCAAACAAAAAAACAGCAGAAGCACTAAAAGGCATGAAAATCGACGAGTTGAAAAGCTATTGTTAGCAATGGGGAAAAATCTCGTAAATGCACTGCATCAGATGGAGATAACTTTGAAGGTGACTGGGATTTAAACATGTAAGAATATATATACAATTTTTTATAAATAAAGTTTGGGTTTGGGGGACCCTGTCATATACTCACTTCCCATCCTTTCTAAATGTCTTCCTAAATAAAAGAATAAAAATATAAAAGAGAACAAACCGAAATCCATAAGTAAAAAAAAAAAGTAAGGATCATCTGAATGGGAGATAGTTATACCTATTTCCAGAATTCAGAAAGTAGATGGGCTCAGATTGACCAGTAAGTTAGGACAGGGGAAAGGAAACATAATATAAAACCCATAAGGAGCCATCCTCTCTGGCCTTCGGGTGGTGGTCCTTTCACCTACTGTCCACATCACTGGGCACTGGCAAACTCTGGTGTGTCCAAAGTCAAACACCACAGGATTTTTGATGCCTTGAAACAGTGCTGTTTCCTCTGAACTGGTAGAATGGAAGGAATTCTCCAATTTTTAGTGGTGGTAAATGCAGTGTGTTTTAGTTAAAGAAAAATAAGATCAGAAATGGATGTTCTCTTTTAAGAATTTTGACAGGATTCTAAGAAATTCATATAGTGATTGCCAGAAAGATAAAAGAGTCTCCATAGATAGCCCAGAACACCATAAACCTTGGTCCATTAAAAACAAGAAAATATTTTTAAATTTTTTTAAATAGAGAAAGAAAAAAATTGAAAATGAAAGTACTGGTTTTTAGTACTGAAAAAATATAGTCTTGACTTCCAGCCAAGATGGAGGCCTAGGTAGGCACACTGTGCCTCCTTGCACAACAAAAAAAAAGGACAATGACAAATTTAAAAACAAAAAACAACTAGAACTGACAGAAAATCAAACTGTATGGAAGTCCAACAGCCAAGGAGTTATAGGAAAAACACTCATCCAGACTAGTAGGAGGGGCAGAGATGGGCAGCTGGGCAGAGAGGACTCTTGGCATGGCAGTGGCTGGCAGACCAGGTGAGGTGGTGGCTTGCAGACTGGGTGACCCCACATTCATGTGCAGATAAACCTGGAGGAATACCTGGAGAGCAAGCTAGACTGCACAACCCAGGGTGCCAGCACAGGGAGATAAAGCCTCAAAACCTCTGACTGAAAACACCTCTGAGAGTTGAGGCAGCAGGAGAAACTCCCAGCCTCACAGGAGAGTTCGTTGGACAGACCCACAGGGTCCTAGAATGTACACAAACCTACCCACCCAGAAATAAGCACTAGAAGGGCCCAATCTGATTGTGGGTAGCGGGGAAAGTGGCTGAAAACCAGCAGAGAGTAGAGCAACACCACTGTTCCCTCTCAGACCCCTCCCCCACATACAGCGTCACAACTCAGCAATGTGGGTTGCCCCACCCTGGTGAATACATAAGACTCCACCTCTTACTACAAAACAGGCATTCAGAGACAAAAAATAATAGTGGCCCAAATGAAAGAACAGTTCAAAGCTCCAGAGAAAATACAACTAAGCAACAGAGATAGCCAACCTCAGATACACAGTTCAAAACACTGGTTATCAGGATGCTCCAGGAACTCACTGGGTACTTCAACAGCATAAAAAAGACCCAGACAGCAGTGAAGGTTGCATTATATAAAATAAATAAAAATCTACAGGCAACCAACAGTGACAGAAAGGAAAGCGGGACTCAGATCAATGGTTTGGAGCAGAAGGAAGAAACAGTCAGCCAGAACAGAAGGAAGAAACAAGAATTCAAAAACAATGAGGAGGGGCTTAGAAACCTCCAGGACATCTTAAAACATTTCAACATCTGAATCATAGGGGTGCCAGAAGAAGAAGAGAAAAACCGAAAAAATTAAAAACTTATTTGAAAAAATAATGGAGAACTTCCCCAATCTGGCAAAGGAAATAGACTTTCAGGAAGTCCAGGAAGCTCAGACAGTCCCAAAGAAGTTGAACCCAAGGAGAAACACATCAAGACACATCAAATTACATTACCCAAGATTGAAGATGAGGAGAGAATCTTAAGAGCAGCAAGAGGAAAGGAGAGGATTACCTACAGAGGAGTTTCCATAAGACTATCAGTTGATTTCTCAAAAGAAACCTTGCAAGCAAGAAGGGGCTGGAAAGAAGTATTGGGAGTCATGAAAGGCAAGGACCTACATCTAAGATTATTCTATCTAGCAAAGTTATCTTTTATAATAGAAGGGTAGATAAAGTGCTTCCCAGGTAAGGCCAAGTTAAAGGAGTTCATCATCACCAAGCCCTTATTATATGAAATGTTAAAGAGATTTATCTAAGAAAAAATAAAAAATATGAACAGTAAAATGACAACAAACTCACAGCTATTAACATCCAAACCTAAAAACAGAAACAAACTAAGCAAACAGCTAGAACAGGAACAGAATCACAGAAATGGAGATCACATGGAAGGTTATCGGCAGGGGAGTGGGAGGGTGAGAGAGGGGGAAAAGGTACAGAGAAGAAGTAGCGTAGATGATAGGTAGAAAATAGACAGGGGGAGGTTAAAAATAGTATAGGAAATGTAGAAGCCAAAGAACTTATATGTATGACCCATGGACATGAAGTAAAGGGGGGAAATGCAGGCAGGAGGGGCTGTGCAGAGTGGAAGGGAATAAAGGGGGTAAATGGGACAACTGTAATAGCATAATCAATAAAATATATTTTAAAAAACATAGTCTTTGACTAGTTGTACCATGCCTATCCCACTCTTAGAAATGGGTGCATTCTTCTCAAATTTTAGAATTGTAGCAAAAATTTTAGTACTTAAGGCATGAGTAAAAACAAGTAAGAATTCTAATTTTCAAGTGGATTCTAAAAATTATACAAAAGCAGGAATGTCAAGAATTAGAGAAGCAATCTCCACAAGGATAAATTTCACTTTCTTTTTTTCCTTTTTGGCTAGGTGGGGCGTTTTTCTCTGATGTCAGACTCCTGATGGCGCGGTGGCAAAACACAATGCTAAAATGGAAAGAAACACCCTCGTGACAAACATGCAGTACACATTAAGTGCCAGACTAATCTCAAAACTGGAGGCTCAAAACTGCATGGGGAGGTCCACACCAGGAGAACAAGGCTGTGATGTGAACCACTGTTTAAGTCTCAGTCTCACTGCTGAGTAGACACGTGCAGGACAGACTCCAGCCAATGTCGTAGCAGTTTCAGAAACTGACCTGAGATTAGACCCACCCACACAAGTGTCATACAACTCACTGAGCTACACCTGACTGTGGCAGACCCAAACCAACATAGTAGGTTTTCCTAAGGATCCATGAATCCAGGAGTTGGTTCTTTAAAATGATAAACAAAATGGACAAGCCATTAAGTAGGCTCATCAAGAAAAGAAAAGACCCAAATAAACACAATCAGTAATGAAAGAGGAGAGATTACAACTGAAACCACAGAAATACAAAGGATTGTAAGAAATTACTATGAAGAACTGTATGCCAAGAAATTTGAAAACCTAGGTGAAATGAAAAAATTTTCTAGAAAAATATAATCTTCCCAAACTCAATGAAGAAGAAGCAGAAAGCCTGAACAGACCAATTACAGCAGATGAAATTGAAGTAGTAGTCAAAAAACTCCTGACACACAAAAGCCCCAGACCAGATGGTTTCACAGGAGAATTCTATAAAGCATTTAAGGAAGAGCTAACCCTTATTCTTCACAGACTATTTTTAAAAATCCAGAATGATGGAAGACTTCCAAACTCTTTTTATGAAGACAGCATCATACTAATTCCAAAACCAGATAAAGACACAACAAAGAAAGAAAACTTGAGGCCAATATTGCTGATGAACATAGATGCTAGAATCCTCAACAAAATATTGGCAAACCACATCCAACAATACATTAAAAAGATCATACACCATGACCAAGTGGGATTCACCCCAGGGATGCAAGGATAGTTTGCAAATCAGTAAATGTAATACATCACATAAACAGAAACAAACACAAAAATCACATGATCACATCAATAGATTCGGAAAAAGCTTTTAGTAAGGTACGACACCCATTTATGATAAAAACACTCAGCAAAGTGGAAATAGAGGGAGCATTCCTCAATATAATAAAGGCCATATATGAGTGACCTACAGCCAACATCATACTCAATGGGAAAAAACTAAAATCTATTCCACTAAGATCAGGAACAACACAAGCTTGTCTACTTTCACCACTTTTATTCAATATAGTATTGGAAGTTTTAGCCACAGCGATCAGACAAGAAAAGGAAATAAAAGGCATTCAAATCGGAAAAGAGGTAACAAAACTGTCACTGTTTGCAGATGACATAATAGTCTACATGGAAAGTCCTATAGACTCTACCCAAGAGCTGCTGGACGTAACAAATGAATTTGACAAAACAGCAGTATACAAAGTCAATATCCAGAAATCAAAGGCATTTTTTATACCAACAATGAAATAGCAGAAACAGAAATCAAGAAAAAAATCCCATCCGATATAGCAAAAAGAAAAATAAAATATCTGGGAATAAACCTAACCAAGAAGGTAAAAGACCTGTATGCAGAAAACTACACAACACTGAAGAAAGAAATCAAGGAAAATACAAACAAATGGAAACATATACTGTGTTCATGGATTGGGAGAATTAACATTATCAAAATGTCTATACT